TTTATCATTTCAGTTATTTTTGATTTAATATAATGCTATTAGTGCCATTTTCTCGTAACATACAATTTTTACAGGGTGTCTGTAATATGTACATATGTACGTTTTTAATCGGACATAAATGTGCATTCTTTTTATAAGAAATTGGATTTTTTACTTTTCTTGGGGCAAAATTTACTCGGTAAGGAAAAATGATGTACTTTTTATTTTTGATAGTTGATATTAGACAGCCACCCTATATCTAGCTATACATTAATATTTACATGAATTTAAAAATGTTTTTTTTTTTACTCCGTATAAACATCACATGACAAACAATACAATTTGCTAAATTTCTATTGTTGAGTTTTTAACATTACATATTTGATATTTTAATAAAAATACTGAAAAATAAATTTTAATTGCATAAAATATTTATTAGAATTTTGTATCATAAATTCAATTTTGAGATTTGTGCTGAAATTTTATTCTTTAAAAAAATGGTTTATACCCCCCTCGCATAAACCATGTCCGTCCTTCTGTCTGTCCATATTCATATGTATGTAACTGCATATCGAGCATATAAAAAATCTAATTTTGAGAATTGTGCTGAAATTTTGAATCGTTAAAAAATGATTTATACTCCCCTTGAATAAACCATGTTCGTCCTTCTGTCTGTCCATGTAATCAAACTACAAGTCCCAGTTTTGAAGATAATTTGAAGAAATTTGGTACACTTACACTTCCATTACAACCATACCCCATGAATAGAACTTTTGATATCATAATTATGCTAAATATACTAATATCTATACAAAAAAGGACTAACCAACCAAATTGGATAAAAAAATACAAAATTAGGCCCGAATTATTTTGTTCCCAAATTTCTTTGAAAATTGGTCTAATCGGTTTTGATTATTTGCAAGATAATCGGGTAGATATCGAAAGTAGATATGATTTGCTTCTTCATTCATCTCTGGTATCAATCTCCGGTTTATTTTAAAAATATCATTTTAATTTTTTTTATTTGCCTCAATTTATATTTCATCATCATTCTTTAAATGCATTTCAATTCAACAATAAAAACAAAATGAAAATAAAGAAAAAACAACAACAAATGGGAACACAAGTAAAAGAAAACAAAAAAATATATGGCGAAAATGTTAAACGTATATTGAAGACTTGAATTGAAGATAAGAATAGGAGGGATAAAATATCCTTGATGTTGAGAGTTGAAAAAAGCAGAACTCCTTCAGGTAGCATTAAAATAATGCACGTGTACTCCACTTTATCGTGGCGTTTTATTTAAGTGTATTTGTATTATAAGATTGCATACAAATTCACAAACACATACACACAGATACACTTATACTTGGCCACATATACATACATACATATGTACATATAGACATATTTAGTTCATATGTGTAGCCACAGAGAAAGTACGTAGAGTGAGTGAAGTACGCTGAGAAAAATAAGTACTTGAAAAATTTTGAAATCTTTATTAAGGTAGTTATATATGGATCCTCATAAAAGTAAGCTTGAAGATACTGGTTTTTACAAAACTTGTTTGTTTTTCATCAATTTATTGGTATTTTAAAGCGAGTTATGAGTGCTAAAATCATTTTCTGAAGGTCTCTCTCCTTCGTATATGAGTTCTAAGGCGCCCACAGGGCTTAACATATTTACCGACAGCCAGAAGGCAATTGTGGCGATATCAGGTGATAAAGTTAAATCAAAAACCGTATTGGATTGTAAAAAAGCTCTAACCGAATACTCTCCCAGAGGTAAGGCTCACATCATATTGGTACCAGGCCACTCGGGAGTAGTCGGAAATGAAAGAGCGATTATAATAGCTTTAAAGGGTAGGGAGTTCGAGGTAGTTAACCTGACGAACGCAAAACGTTGTCAAAATTGCAACAATTCGTTGTCGAAATCTAAATTTTATATACATCCGTTGTCTAAATGTTAACAAACGTGTTAAGCTCACTATTGGCAACGGATTGTTTGTTAACATTTAGACAACGATTGCGTATAAAATTTTGATTTCGACAACGAATTGTTGCAATATTGTCCACATTATATAATGTTGTCGTACGTATGTATATACTTTGACAACGGATGGTATTGACAAATTATAAACAGTTTGGTGTAAATTTGGTATCATACATACGTGTATAAATTTCTTTTTCTCTCTGTGTATATAAGGTTTTTGTTTTTACCAACAAACATTTTCCAAGAAAAGGAGCGCATAATAGGACCGATAGTGGCCTAGGTGTATTTCTTCGGATTTGATGTAGATACATCCTCCTGTTAACCTAACCTAAGGTCAATTATACCATAATGTTATGGATATATTAGACTATCTAGTCCAAAGTTTTATCACGATTGCTCCACTTCGTTTAGATTCTTTCGTGCTTTCAATAGACAGACGGACGGACATGGTTAGATCATCTGAGAGTCTAATAAAAGGGATAATGGGTTGCAAATCAATATTGGGGGTATAAATTTTTATAGTGGGTAGTGCAGTTAATGACGTCATGGGAATTATTTATGTTAAATTTTATTGAATTACTGATATTTCTACATGATTTATAAGCGTCAGAGTTGTATAAAGTGTAACACCCTAATGTAAATATGCATTCGCACAAACAAAACTGCATATATAGATAAATGTATATGTTGCTTGCAACATACTTCGTAATTCCTTTTTGGTTGTTTTTGTTTTTGATAAATTTATATGGTATATTCTTGTTTGCTTTTTAATACTTTTACAAATTTGTCACAGTGTTTTTCTTTTTTTTTTTTGTTGTGTTTCGGTATAAATGCATATTTATAATGCATACACCGACATACATACATAACGGCTATATACAAACATACATAAGTATATATGTATGTACCATATGTAGATGTGAATGTGTTAGTATTTACTTAGAGAAACTGTAAACATTTGAAATTGTTGAAATTGTAAAGACAAATGCGGCTGCATTTGTTATTATTGTTTTCGTTGTTGTTGTTGTTGCTACTGCTGCTGTGATACGTTGTATGATGTTGGCACATATGTTGATTGTTTTTTAGCTACAATTGTATAATATTATACTCGTTGTACCAACAACGACTTATTAAGTTTATGTAGATGAATAACATAAAACACACATATACACATATATGTGTGTATATTTGGGTATATATTTGTATATACCCTGAAATATTACGCTAAAGGACATTCAACCTGTTTGTTTTTCTTTACTTTACTAGCAGCAACATACATAAATACATTTTTCATACATTTGAATAGAAACAAAACCATCTAAATATTGTATGTTATTTAGAATTTTTCATACATTGTCATCTACACACAATTACATACACAAACATATGATGTACATACATATGTACATGCATAGATACAGACATCCATATTTATTATTATTGTACTTGTATGGCTTGTAGCGTAAAAATCTTTTATGCATCCCGAGGCATTTTACAGGAGAAATACAACAAAACAACATAAAGAATATATGTTTGAATACCTATTATTTTCTAAAATGCTGATGATGTACTTACTATACAAAGGTATATGCATGTGTACATATTTATGTTTTAAGTGTATTACAGATTTCGTATTCATTTTAGAATCTTACGTGTATCGAGTTAAGGATTTTTAATCATTATTTCTACACCGAAATAAATAGAAGTTTTCTTTGTCAATTAACATAATTTGGAAAATTCAATTAAGCCTTCAAATACATACTTTTTAAAATATTTGACAAAGACTAGCAAAGAACTTAATTTACGTATTTTCAAATTTTTTTGTGGAATTGGAATTTAAAACAAAGTATAATTGCACCCGAACTTACTTTTAAATAAAAATATTTTTACAGGAAAATATTGCTTCACGTTCATATATTCATTCCTTCCTTCGTTAGTTATCTATATCTACATTGTATATATGACTTTTATGCATAAATTTCTTATTTGAATATGACACTTTTTTTGCTGTATTATTTGCCAAGTATTTCGTGGAAATACTTAAAACAAACAAAAACACATTAATATACCATTAGTATCCTTCCCCTTTGTGATTTGATTGTTATTGTTGCAGCAGTTACTATTGCCTCAAATATAGACACAGATACACTTCTAGCCCTCCCTCTCTCTCTCTTTCTAACAACTACAACCACGACTCCTGTCAATTTTCATAATATTTTTTTTGTGTTACTGCTGCTGCCTCTACTGTTGTTGATGATGAAAGTATAGACTCTTGGTACTTACCTTGTTTTGTAAAAGAAAGAAATGTTTTGTTATTATTATTGCAGTTTTTTGTTGTTGTAGTTGTTTTGTCTAACAACAAGTGTTGATTGTTTATTATCGTGTGTTTTTGCTCAAAACTTGAAGTTTTCTTCACAACTTACGTTGTATGTTTTCATACAACTTTCTTTCTTTTGTTTTTTTGCTTTTTTTTTTTTTTTTTTTGATATACATGTCGAAAAAACTGAAACCAACAACAAAAAAACAAAAGAAATTAACACAAAACTTTACAAATTTTGTGCAGAGGGGGGAAAAAAACTCGAATACGAGAAAACTTTACAATACAGGTGTATTTAAGTGAAGCTAAACTGTTGCCTTAAAGTGTTAGCGTGAGGATAAATTTTTTGACAATGTGTTGTTGGTTGCTTGGCTTGGCTTGTGCGAGTGTGAAAATGTATGTAAGTAGGTGTTCAGTTTGCTACTGTCATTTCCTGTAAATTGAAATAAATGATAAGAAAATCCTCAACAATTATTAGAGATTAAAATCTGATAAGACAGAATATTTGAAGTTACAAGTGGGTATAGCTAATTTTATCATGTAGTAACTAAGTAGTTTTGTACATGAGCTTTCTTGCCTTACTAAGAAGCCTCTATGTTGAATGTAATATTATGGTTAAATTTTGGTCAGTTTTCTTTTAAAGAATAACTTAAATTTAAATTTTATATGAAATTGTAGAACATAAATTTTACTTATATTTTTTTTCTTTCAGCCCCACCTTCATCTATTGAAATTAAGGGTTATACGAACAACGCCAAAGTGGAGGTTCGAGAAAATCAAGACTTAACCTTAAAGTGTATTGTATCAAATTCAAAACCTGCCGCACAAATTGTCTGGTATCGAGGAAACGTAGAGTACAAACCGGGTATGTATAGCAAGTTTTTGTCATTTTATTCTAAATTTATAAAATGTAAACTACCAGTCTATAGTCTTGACTATATACCAGTCTGCAGTCTAGAATATAAACCAGTCTATAATGTTGATTATAGACCAGTATATAGCCTTGACTATAGACCAGTCGATAGTCTTGACTACAGACCAGTCTATAGTCTCGACTATAGAACACTCTATAGTCTTGACTATAGACCAGTCTATAGATTGGTCTATAGTCTTGACTTAGATCAGTCTATAGTCTTGTCTATAGACCAGTCTATTAACTTGACTATAGACCAACCTATAGTTCTGGCTACACATCAATATACAGTCCTGACTGTAGACCAGTCTAAGACTACTGACCAGTCTATAGTCTTGCCTACATACCATTTTATATTCTTGACTATAGACCAGTCTATATTCTTGACTATAGGCCAGTTTATACTCTTGACAATAGACCAGTCTATAGTATTGACTATAGACCAGTCTATAGTCTTGGATATAGGCCAGTCTCTAGTCATTGTTATAGACTAATCTATAGTCTTGACAATAGAGCAGTCTTGACTATATTCAAGACTATCTACCAATCTATACTTTATTCAAAACTGTAGACCAGTCTTAAATATAGACTAAAGACCAATCTGTAGTCTTGACTATAGACCAGTCTATAGTCTTGACAGTAGTGCAGTCTTGACTATATTCAAGGCTATAAACCAGTCTATGCTCAGGACTATATTCAAGACTGTATACCAGTCCATAGTCTTGACTATAGACCAGTCTATATTCTTGTTTATAGACCAGTTTGTAGTCTTGAATGTAGACCAGTATATAGTCTTGACTATATACCGGTCTATGGTCTTGGCTATAATAATGTTTAAAGGGTGTTTATATTTTTATACTGTTATTAAGCTAATACCATATAGCTTACACATATTTTGACTGATAATTATTTTCTCCAAGTAATAGTTTGCATGAGAACAACATAAGTAATTAATATTAATCATTGAATGTTCACCACATATTTCTAATGTTATAGAAAATTAAAATTTGTGTCAAACCTGCAACCTTTTGTAGCATAAAAACAAAAGTTGTATAAAAAAAAATATAACAGAAATGTACAAATTATTAACATAATTGAAAACCATTAAGTAAAATGTTCTCACACAACCAAGGAAAAAGTTTACCTTTATCTTACTGTAAAGTCAACTTGTTAAGTGAACAACTTTTTTTCAGAGTTTTTCCTTCTGAATTTTTTTGTTCGTTACAATTAATTTTAATGTTGTAGTTGTTGTTGTGTTTGTTGCCATTGTGGTTGACAGCAAGTCATCATAACTCATGTTAGTGATTGTTGTTAAAGTAGAACACTAAACTCTAAGAGTAACTAGGGTGGCGAGTTTGGACACAACCAACAGGAAAATAACAAGGATAGACGAGTAGGGAAATGACACAAAATAAATATTAATTTATTTTATATCCTGTATAAAAATACTCTTTGGCGCACAGACTGAAAGAAACAATAGCAACAACAACAAATAGAAAATAGACCAAAAACAAAGAAAGAAAAAATTAACATGAATAAGAAAAATCATTTCGGCCTGATGACGGACCTCGTTATTAATAACGTAAATGTCCTCGAAACTCATCAAAAATATCCATTCCCTTTTTTTTTTGTTCATTTTGGTGGCAGCAAACGGCGACAGATTATAATCGAAAGAACAGTAAACACATATACTTGGGTACCTTAAAACGGAAGCCACCAAAAATATAAACAACAGGACAACACATTAGTATTAAAAAAATACAAGATTACCAAACACAACTGAAAAGGATATAAACACATACAACAAACACATACTCACTTACATAGCTGTATATAAAATGTAAGTCAAATTTACAAAGTTTAATGTTAAAAGCTGATCATAAACATTTGCCTGATGAATAAAATGGTTAAATATATATACAATTAGGCGTATAAAGCAAAATCAGCAATCTCTACTTTTTAAAAAACTTGTCTGATAAGTTCATGCGGTAGACAATGTTTTTGTGTTTGTGAAAAAATTTCATAATTTTTCATAAACGAAAGAGAAAATTTTGAATATAATTAATTTCAAGTTATAATATAAAGTATTTTAACACAAAATTTGGTTTTTGTTTAAAACTAATACAAAAATATCAACAAATCTAATCTGTTATATCTGTAAAACTCTATATGTTTTTGGCTAAAAGTGGAGATGTCTACCTTTGCTTCAGTATGTTTCATGTGTATTTCTGTTTAAGAATTTAAGTGACATTAGAGTTAATGTATATGTCTCGGTGTTTTTGTATCCCTACTTATGTGTGTGTGTGTGTGTCTGTATGTTGTCTTAATCTTACTCATATGTAGGAGTAAAAATGTTCAAGGATCACATTTGATGACGGTGCTTAAATGATGATTTTCTTTTTTGGTCATTTTGCTAAACAGATTAAACCTTATGTTTATTACACACACACACACACACATTTATATGTGCTGTGTAAGTGTGTTGGTATTTATGAAAAATGTTAATGTCAATGAAGGCCATCATAAGTTTATTTTACTCAGCTACCATTAACGTCCTTTTTGTTTTGTTTTTGGATAATTTTTTCTTGTTGCCATTAGATGGAAAAGCTCCACCTTCTGCAGCAATAACATTTTTAACGAAAGTGAAAAAATGATGATTATTGCTCATACACACACACACACACACACACAGCTAGACACATATGTATGTCGCAACATTGTATTAAAAACAGTTGACATAAAAAGTAAAAATTATTTTTTAAAGATGATAATCATGATTTTTATGGAAAATAATTCAGCTTACAAAGCTTGTCATCTGACGTAAATTCGTATTTAAGAATTCCTTCTGTTGTTGGCTGGAAACATTTCAGTTTTTATACACGGAGCCAGACATAATTTGTGGCCATCATAATCATCATCTTTATCGCTGTTGTCGTTATTGTTCTTGTTGTTGTCGTCATATCATAACACTTCTTTCCAACTCATTCAAATTTGTTTTCAGCCTTTCTCTCTATCTCTCTCTTTATATCACTCGTATTCTGCGTTTTAAACTCCCTGTATATTTAACTATCTTTCATCCTGTCTTGTGGTATGTTAGGCATCAGGATAAGTAACAATGTTTTTTTTTTGTGTCATTTGCGGGGAAAACGAATCAATTTAGACACAGCTGTGGCGGTATGGAACAATGAACAAGTGCCGACGTTGAGTACATACAACTACTTAATGGGAAATAACAGCAACAACAAACATTTTTAAAATAACGTACTTTGCCAGCAGTTTTAAATGCATTCAAAGTATTCCTGTACACGGTATTTTTCTTAAGTGTTTAATTAATTGTTTGGGTAATTTTTGGTTAATCGACATGTATATATCCTTTATAGTGCAGAGAGTAGTTATTTGTCACTTTAGTATACCCAGGTAATCTAGCGTGAAATCAATCAGGGATAGAAAATTCGGTACCATCGTACTTTTTCAGTACTTTTTGAATTATAAACTTTTGCTGGTAGTCTGTAGACTAACGAATAGATTTGATAATAAATGTATTAATATTACATGGACTAACCAATATACTCAATAAAATCAATAGATAAACCAGTGAACTAGTCAATAGGTTAGCCTATAACTAAATAATAGATTAATCGATAGATCAGTGAATAGTTTAGTTTACAGACTAGATCTTAGAGTTGTCAAAAGACAAGTCTATAGACTTGTTAATGGAGTAATTCCTAGACTTTTCAATAGTCTAGTCTGTAGACTCATCAATACAAAAAATAGTCGAAAAGAATTTACAATACATTTTATTCCTCCTTAACCGGAATGTAGACGGAAGCATCAAGTCAACTAACCCAAACTGCAGGGTTGTGCTTCAACATGCGTGAGTGTGTTTGCGTGTGAATGTCCAAAAATGAAGTGGATATTTAAATGACAAAAACAATAACTCTAGAGAAATGATGAGTTGTGATTATGACGCAAGGACAATGCACCACAAATGAGACCAAAAACTTACCTATCCAACGCCTGACTAATGGACAAACATCAGCACGCATATAACAACTCACATAATTGTACATACATACAATATAAAGTGGTTTTACTAACGTTTGATATTTCAATTATTAACATCCACTACCACTGATAATTATTTGGCAAAATGTAGATTACAGTCATCATGTCAGCTGGAATGCATCACGCATTTAAATGAAAATGACAGGAAATGTTTTGTATTCCGCATCTACACACATCTACAGAATGCCTCGAACCTGATTCGATAAAATTTTAATCTTTAAAGACTATGTTTGAACATGCATTGGGTAACTGCAGATAATAGCAATTTCCATCAATTCGTATTATAATTATTGCAAATCGTAATCAATTTAAGCTAAACATGAGACCCTTTAACCTTGGATTGTAGTCCAAAACAACGATAAATTTATATATACAAAGAGGGAAAAAGAAAAATACACGCCTGGTATCAAATTGACACCAAACTGTTTATCCGTTGTCAAAGTATATACATACATATGACAACACTATGTAATGTTGTCAACATTGCAACAATTCGTTGTCGAAATCTAAATTTTATACACATCTGTTACCACGTTTGTTAACCTTGAGACAACGGATGTATATAAAATTTAGATTTCGACAACGAATTGTTGCAATGTTGACAACGTTGCGTAGTGTTGTCGTAGGTATGTATATACCTCGACAACGGATGTTATTGAAAAATTATAAACTCTTTGATGTCAATTTGTTACCAGACGTGTATATTTCCTTTTCCCTCTATGCACAATATAAAATTTTTGAAAATAAAACAACCCTTTCTATTTTTCAAAAGCCATGACTTGAAATAGGTTATCTGAAAAACTCGTATCTTAGAATTTCAGATTAGCAGACAACCAATCATAGATCAAAATTTATGAATATCCTTAACTCTTTTAAACCCCCAAAGAGGGATATTTTCTTTTAGGCATATCAATGTATATTGTTCCATAAAATGTTCTTAACTACAAAATAATTCATTATAGCATGGTCATCTTCGAACACCGAATATCACATCAGCTTTCGTGCTTGTTTTTGCCTAAAATATCTACATTGTAATTTAATGTTGTTCCAATTTAAACCTTAACTCTTTTCTTCGATTTAGATTTAGAATATAAAGGATTTTCCACTCCTATTTATCTTAATTTCCCTACTTTCTTACTTTAATAACACTCCTTCCTTCTCATTAGATTATGCGTATTTTTTACTATTTATTTATAAAACATTTCCTTTCTTAAGTTTTCTTTTTTCGAAAAAGTAAAAAAAGTGTCCAAGTTTTTAAAGAATTGTCTCTGTAATATTTTTTTCCTATACTCATGTTAACTTGTCGTAGTTTTGACGCAAATTTATCTCATTTATCTCCTGCTGTAAAACGTGGCACGAGCCGTGCAACCTTGCACTGAACTTTGAAAAAGTAAAAATTAAAGAAACAAAGTTTTACTATTACAAACGTCTCAACACAGCAGCAACCAACAGCAGCCAATGGCTCTGTTCTAGACATAAAGTTAAAACTTATTATTTTTATTTTTGTTTTTGATTTTTTTTCCATTGCTCTTTAGTTATATCTTCCATGTGTATTTCCTTTGAAAATAACTTTGAAAAGTGTTAAAACTAAAAAAAAAACAAGTTTAGAAAAGAAAGGAATCACAATCGTGCGTTTCGTGTTACCAAACGTGAGGTAAATAAAATGTGTTGAAAGTTTTTTAATAAATTAAATCAATAATAAAAATAAATGACCGAAAAGCTAGTAAAGAGTGCAAAATAACAAAATCCTTCATGTACTTGTAATTTAAGAAATTTAATTTCAAATTAAATTAGTTTTCATTACACCACCATAACGTATGAGTGTTGTGCAATGTATAGGTATAGATATTTAATACTCATACGCAGTGTTGTTATTTGAGTTTATTGTGGTAACAGAAAACAAAGAGAAATCATTTTGTATTGCTTTTTTTTATTCACTTTTATCTTTTTTATTAGATTAGATTTAGTTATAGTCAACATCAAATAAACAATTTATTTGTGAAAAAGTTTTTTTTTTTTATGCAGAATTTTTGTTTCTCTTTGACAAAATAGCGAGAATAGTGATTATTTAACAAAGAGTAGTTGACAAAATAAAGCTAAAATAACTTTTTGTTTTGCCACTCAAAGTTAATATTCTTGTTTGTGTTATTTGTTGTCGCTTTCACTACGTAAACGTTGATGAATTTGAATTATTTATAACACAAAAAGTTTAACAACTATATATACCACCAAAGACTGTTGTTTGGTTCGTTGGTTGGTTGGCTGGTTAGTTGATTAAGTTATCAAACCAGTGTATGCGTGAGTCTCTAAAGAAATTATCCTTGAAGTTTATTTTTCCAGTTTAACAGAACTTACTTTTATATAATTTTTCATTTATGTTTTCGTACAAAGTGTCACTTTGGCTAATATAAAGTCATGCAAATTGTTTCTATTTATTGTCAGCATATTTACAATAAATCTTTTTATTATTTAAAGACATTTTCACAAGATTTTTCATTCCGTTGAAATAAGGAAACATTTGCTTGTAGACTTTATAGTCGTTTCTTAATAACAATACACTTGATAGTCAAATTTCATGTCATAATTTTTAATTTATGAACAGAAAATTAAGTAGAGAATAATAATATTTTATTACTTACTACTGCAGAGATAGCACAGAGAACACTGTTAACACACACAAAGAAAATTTAAGAGGCTGTTTCTAACATACCATGAATGTTAGCTAATTAGAATTGAAGGAATGTTCATACCCTACATCATACCAATTAATACAGAATAACTCTAAAAGTAAGACCATAGGTCGCGAACACATCACTTTTGAGCCAAATTGATGAGAAAATATCTTGAAATTCTGTAATTAAATCGATTAGTAATATCTATATTAATACAAAATTATTTATTTTAATAAATGAATTACCCTCCCAAATTCTGTAGGCTGCGGTTCGTAATCATAAAGTTCCTATTGAGGACCTTCATCTGAAAGTCACTTTTAAACAGAAGATGCTCTGATGCAGGCGTCATAGCTAGTTATGTTTATGAGGGTAAAACACTTAAACATAAATTATAATAAATATGCATATGCAATGATTACTATTTAGTTAACAATAGCTGTACATACAACTGAACATAAATTTATCTCTAAATTCGTACTTTTAGTTTAGAAACAAAATTTGAAAATTCAAATGCTTTAGAGTATATTATAATTTCATAAATTCAAAATTCACAAAAAAAAAATGTATATTCCACTTTATATACATATATAGTAGTGTTGATTATTACTGTATATAAATCATAATGTTATTTTTGTTTTATACTTACAGAAAATCGCAACGATAAAGTCGAGGAGACAACACCAAAACGTTTTACCACCACCTCAAGTTTAAAATTGAAACCCACTGCCGATGACGATTACACGGAGTATACATGCCAAGCGAAGCATAAAGCTTTGGCGCCTGATATGCCCATGCGTTCCACAGTACAACTGTCCGTTTTATGTAAGTGAAATTTAATTTAAACATTAATGTTCGTGTGCATTATGAAAACGATAATAACAAAAAATAAAAACAACTCAAACAGAATGAATAAAAAGTAAAAAAATATTGTAGCCAAATTAATTGTGAGTGTGTGTACAAGTACTTAGAGCAAGCCATAAAATGAGATTGTGGTCATAAGTATTTTTTTACAGTATTTAAAGAGGATTTAGCGTTAAATAAACATTTTGATAATTTGCATATTTAAAAAATATATTTGATGACCAACTTCAGTCCTTCTCCTGCAGCTACATGTATCTAAATGTTTAACAATAACATTATTTTTTATGAATTACTCTCACCAAATCTTATATAAGCAAGAGGAGGAAAAAACGGTGATTTAGATCATCATTAAATGTAAAATATGCATTTCAATTGTAGCTCATTAAAATTAATTTTACATAATTTACACTGTATGTATAACTTTCTCCTTCATTATTTTTTTTTTTTTTCATATTTATATACATCCGGTTTGTGATTGTATCACCAACAAACCAAAATTAAAGCAAACACCCATACTATCACACACATACATACAATGCTTCAACCAATCAGCCACCCACTCGTTTACTTTACTCATCTTTTTGTAATTTGTGTCATTATTCATCGCTGTATTATTTATTACAAATACAAAATTACTTATGTTAAATATTTACACATATATGGTACATACATACATATGTATACTTATGCATATTTACATACAAAAATATAAATTTTTATAGTAGTTTTAATTCCATTTCATTTCAATGTTTTCAAGTGTTTGTACGCTTGTGTGTGTCAGCTTATCCTACAGTTCGAGTGACCCGCACTAGTGTTTTACACAGAGTTACCCCCGTGCTATGTGTCCAGTTATGCTAGGAACAAGTCAATTGTACCTTTATGGAATAAAGTCCATATTTAAAAGATCACTATTAAAAAGTTACAGTTTAAATCTAAAGAGTATATATGTATTACTCCATACATAACAGCTGGGTGCTTGCATACATACATACATATGTGCATTGTACATATGTACATGTAAGTGTGTGTTTACATATTTTGTTAATCCTGTTTAATTGGTCTTCATTTATGAATGTAGGGTAAATAAATAAACAGATTTAAAAGCAAACCATTATCTTTACTCATTTGTGCATTTGTTTTTAAACATGCATGTGTGACTACGAAAATTATTTGCTAAATAGTTTACAAATCAAAATTAAATTTTTTTAAATATCTCAGTAACATTTTTAAAGTTTTCTCATTAATATTTATGAATGCTTTTTGTGCAAATATTAAACGTTATTTAAAGCATAACTTATTCTGTACGAATATTACGAAAAAAACTTTTTTCGTAATATTTACGAAAATTTCTTGCATAATATGAAATATTATTTAATCAAACTGTTTTCTACTTATACGAATGTACAAAAATCTTTTATAATATCGTTTTTCGTATATATTAAGAAACAATTTTTTTTTTTGTATAAATAAATAAATATTTCGTAAAATAAAAACATATTTTCTAGAACTATTTTGCAGTATACTAAAATATACTAATATCGTATATATTATGGAACGTTATCGTATAAAGTATGACATTATTCGAATATATTAGACATGGACCATATTTAAGTAATGGTACACAGAGAGAAAAACCGGTAGAAAAGTACTGAAAGTGATACAATCCTTTGTCAAAAGTGAGCTTACCACGTTCGTTAACATTCAGACATCAGATGTGTATAAAATTTAAATAACGCCCAGTTATCATTTTGACAACCACCGTTGTCATTTGGACAAGGCATTGTTGTCATTTCGATTACACTTTGTGTTATTTCGACAACGCATCATTGGCATTTAGACAACGCAACGTTCTGTTTGACAGCATAGTGTTGTCACTTTGATAACACATTGTTTTTACTCAGTCATATATTATTTATTATTCTTTTGTTGTTAATTTGACAACTATCCGTACATACTTTGAGAACGAATGTTATTGAAAAATTATAAACACTTTGGTGTCAATTTGATACCAAGCGTGTAATATTTTAAAACAAGAGCTACTTCTATATCTTTTGATTGAAATGTTACAATTTGAACTTCAGTATAAGAAATAAAGGGTCAACTATTAGCTTATTAACAGGTCATGAAATATTATTAACCTAAAACATCTTAGCCCTTTAATTCTGAGTGTATCATTTTGGAATTCTCACACGTCCAACAAACGTTTAAAGGTTTGTTATGCCAACACCTACTAAAATTATAAAAAGTAACAAATTATCGATTTGTTTAGGCTTTGTCTTCCTCACTCGTAGGATTCTAACTAGAGTCTTCTTTCAGAAAGATAACACTCTGCTTTATAAGTATATTTGACGACGGAAAGTCTTTGTTCAGCTGCTCGGGAGATCTAGATCTCTTTGCCTCAGAGGAATTGACCCAATGCGATTTTCTGGAGCATCTCAGTACATCAGATAGCAGTTTTTGGTAGTCGATAACTAAGCTATGCTGCCATTCACCTCTTCCAATATTCACTCTACTTCATCCTTGTTGGGATTATGTGTTAAGAAGTTGTAAAACATATGATAAGATACTAGTAACTAGAGGAGATTTTTACTAGCATTAATTAAAATCGTGAACCAATTTCGAACATTTTTAACAAAACTTTATTCTTGGATCATAAACTACCATTATACTGATGTAGTCTGAAAACTATACAATATTTAGACATTTACATTTACAAAATCCAAATAAAACAAGCAGCTCAGATAAACTTTCACCATAAATGGTTGTCGAATATTGAATTTCAACTTTTTTTTAATATTTTTATTGTCAATTTTTTTCGCTTTGTTTTTAGAAACAATTTGTGACTGGTCAGCAAAAATATGGTCAATAATATTAGCATAAATACTAACTAGTCTAAAACGTTTTTAAATTAATTATAGAGTTTTTGTGTTATAGAGGCGTATAAAAATATACAAACACAAATACATACATGTAGATTTTTACAAACAAATATTTATAAGTTTTAACAGGTACTGCACACATGTTTGTATTAGCTAGGTGCCAAAAAAGTTGTGGATATTTTAGTTATAACTTTATAATTCTAATAAGGTTTTATAGATATTGGGTCCATTCTAATGTTGGCTTAAAATGATGATGGGTTGTGCAATAGTTTAGAAAATAATACATACACAGAAAAAATTATCAGTAGTTTATTTTCAATTAACATGTTTTTCTCTTTCTTTAGTTTTAATTTAAGCAATTTTTTATTTGTCTTAATTATCTCGTTGTTAAAAACCTAAGTTTACAAATTTTATTAAATTTTTAATTGATTCAATTAATTTTTTAATTGATTGAAAAAAAATTTCTGGCCAACTTTTCTATTTTAGTTTTTTTTTAAATATTTTATTTTGATTTCTTATGCTAACAATGTTTATAATTCTTAAATAGTCAATACGATTTTAGGCATATAATATTCAAGTTTCCTGACATTTTATAAAACACTTTATATGTTCAAATTTGATAATAAAGTGATATTTTTTGTAAATGCTCAAAGTATTGTTAAAGGTCAAGCATTCCTTTAACAATGTGAGTAATCAGTTAATAATTTGATTGTTTTAATCATTAACTTAATTGGTTTTTAATGCATTTTCTACCAAACAAACTAATTCATTTGATTAATAAATTAATAAAAATTAGATTTTATTTTTATTAAATATTTAATTTATACAATTAATGAATTAATCAATTTTAAATTTTGTTTCAATTATTGATATTAATTGTTCTGATTAATTCGTTATTTGGAAAAAAAGTATTTTTTGAATTTTTTTTACAAATTTGATAATTGATATCATCATTTTGGTGATAGGTGCAGAACTTGCTTGATACAATTATTTTGATAATTGAAACATATTTTTAGTTTTTTCTGTGTATAATATCTGGTTCACTAAAATTCATTACAATTAATTGAAACTCACAGTTAGTTTATGTTTCGTCTATAACTGGTCTATAGAATATGTGTCAAAATTTAAAAGCATTATCAAACCATAAATGTCGAAAATAATTATTATCATTGTCATCATAAAAACCTACAGTTTGTTAAGTAAACACTATGTAATTATTCAGTTTATTTATATATTAGGTTTGTTGATTTTTATAACCTACAACACTATAGAGCTGATGTAACGTACATATAAATACATACAAATCTTATTCAGAACCACACTTTGAATCGTTTTGGTGATTCTCGTTGACTCAAGAACAAACACCAATGAAAATTAAGGCTGCATTGTCTAACCTCTAACTTTTGAAACTAGATTCAAACACTTTCGAATCTGGATGTTAAAATTAAGTAACATTAATTGAAAAATGTTAAGCAATTACGTTCAAAGTATTGAGTTTCTGAATCATCGGATGACAATGCCACTTTAAGGGTGATTCACTCTTCAAAGAAAATCCATATAGAGCAGCTCACAATAGATCCAGTAGTGGCCTATGTATATGTCATCATGTTGTAATGTTTATAACATCCTCCACTTAAACCCTATAATATACATTAGGGTTTAATTACTATAACTCTTGGGACGCTTTTTATTAATGACAATAGTAATTATTAACATAATATTGGTGATTTTACGTTAATCTTCATTCCCTAGTGGCAAAGTATGTATAGGAGAATTAACAATGTTCACTTTTAGTTTTCGCCACACTTTGTGAACTTTTAGTTGCTATTTTGATAATCTAAAACAAAAAAAAATGTATCTGAAAAGCAGGTTAGCCACTTGTCAAACCTTTTAGGCGTATAAACGTTGAAAATTGGTTTTTATCATTTTGTGCAAACTTTAATACAGAATTTAACCCGGAGGCTAAAAGGTGAGCAGAAATTTAGTAGTTTTAAATTAAAAACACACATTTTTTACTTTTTGTATTAAAACTGATTTTAGCAGCTGTATATGTAGTAGGTAGAAAACGGTAGCCACTAAAATAATTTTGATCAAATGTAAACACGTAAACATGAACACAAACACATTTAGGTACATACATATGTATATGTATCACTCACACTATCAGCCATTTAAATGTTAAATATGTATAAAAAAATGACCTTATGAATATGCAACAAATTGAATTTAAAATGGCGGCAACTAATATGGCAGCATGCGACAGATAAATTCAATTATAATAAATTTATACCAATCTCCAAGCACCGACAGACAGAAAGACACTCAAACACATGCATAAACATTAATACGCACAACACTGAACACATATTTTATTTGCTGCATGAACACCTGACCGTAGGCTGTGCTTTTTTGTTGCAAAAACTTAAAACTAAAAAAACAACAACACTGATATAATAATATTCATACTTAAACACACAGATATGCCATAATAAAATTGCATTTATACATTTGAGGAAAGATACGAAGCAAAAAAAAAAAAAAATAAAATAAACTGAAAAAAATAGATAAATTCACATACACTGCAACACTTAAAAACATTCAAGCCACAGCCACTACTAAACCACAACAACGGGGAAAAAATTATAAAATTTTAATAATATTTTTATTCGCAAATAGTCGGAAATTCTCTAATTGTGGCAGTTTTGTGGCAACTCATACTCAAATTTAAACTTACACATTCACACACTCATGAAAAAGCTCTGTGCAAAACTAATTTTTACCCGAAATGTTGCACAAATCTACACATTAAATATGGTTGAATTATATGTATGTATGTGGCAATTTGAGTGTTTGTCTGTATGTTTGTCGTACATTTATCTAGGTATCATCAGGCTTAAAAAAAGATCATAATTATATGCAACTAAAGCGTTTTTTACACACATAGCTGTATGCATATATTTTAACCTAATTGAATTGAAATTTTTAAATAATAATTGTTACTTTTATAAATTCATAATAAACGGAAAAAAATAATAAAACTTATTGTTTTTATAGCGTAAATGTACATGTGGTATATTACCTTTTTAAATTATATGCATTCATATTTATTTATTTGTTTGTTAAAATGTTTTTAGTATAAAATTTAAAATAATTTAAAATGCGTTTTGTTTTTTTGATACATTTGTATATCGATATTTAAATTAATAGAATAACATACAACATCTGAAAAGTACCCATACTGATGGCTTTTTAAAATTTTATATACTCACATATACGAATGCACAAATGCTCCCACAACAAAGTAAGATATTATCTATAATCTTCACAAAACAGCAGTCTAAAGTCATAACATTAAATCAGGCTATAGACTTAACTATTGTCCAGTATATAGGACAGACTACGGACCTGTCTAAGTATCTGACAAAAGACTAGTCCATGGATCAGATCAGTGGACCAGTCCATAGTTTTGTCTATAGACCAGTCTATAGTCTTGTCTATAGAGCAGTCTATATTCTTGAATATATACCAGTCTATAGTTTTGACTATAGACCAGTTTATAGTGTTGACTATAGACCAGTCAACAGTGTTGACTATAGACCAGTCAATAGTGTTGACTATAGATCAGTCTATAGTCTTGACCATATACCAGTCTATAGTATTGTCTATAGACCAGTCTATAGTGATGACTATAGAACAGTCTATAGTGTTGACTATAGACCAGTCTATAGTCTTGACTATAGAACAGTCTATAGTGTTGACTATAGACCAGTCTATAGTCTTGACTATAGAACAGACTTTACTCTTGACTATAGACCAGTCTATAGGCTTGACTATATACAAGTCTATACGCTGAACTATATGCTAGTCTACAGTTTTGATTATAGACCAGTCTATAGTCTTGAATAGTATAGTCTTGAATATAAATCAGTTCATATCCTTGACTATAGACCATTTTATAGTCCTTAATATATACCAGTCTAGAGTGTTGACTATGGACAAGTCTATAGTGTTGACTATAGAGAAGTCTATAGTGTTGACTGTAGACCAGTCTATAGTGTTGACTATAGATCAGTCTATAGTGTTGACTTAGACCAGTCTGTAGTGTTGACTTAGACCAGTCTGTAGTGTTGACTATAGACCAGTCTATAGTGTTGAATATAGACTAGTCTATAGTGTTGACTATAGACCAGTCTATAGTGTTGATTATAGATCAGTGTTGACTAAAGACCACTCTATAGTGTTGACTATGGACCAGTCTATAGTGTTGACTATAGGCCAGTCTATGGTGTTAACTATAGATCAGTCTGTAGTGTTGACTATAGACCAGTCTATAGTGTTGACTATAGACCAGTCTATAGTGTTGACTATAGATCAGTGTTGACTATACACCAGTCTATAGTGTTGACTATAGACCACTCTAAAGTGTTGACTATAGACCAGTCTATAGTGTTGACTATAGATCAGTCTATAGTGTTGACTGTAGACCAATCTATAGTCTTGACTATAGACCAGTCTATAGGTTTGACTATAGAACATTCTATAGTCTTGGCTATAGAACAATCTATAGTATTGAATATAGACCAGTCTATAGTCTTGACTATAGACCAGTCTATAGTCTTGACTATAGACCAGTCTATAGTCTTGACTATAAACCAGTAGTATGTATCTGAGACCTTTATTATTGAGTGTTTCAAACTTCAGTGTAAACGCATTAAATCCTCCCCAATATACATGTAAAAATAGTTGTAAAAATGTCGAAACTAATATGAAAAACATTGAATTTATTTTAACTCCAGTAAACATAATATTTGTGGAATTTTATGCTTTGTGGTCATTTTATAAAACACTACTTTTAGATTAAAAGCAACCAAATACACAAAAACAATGAAAAATTTTATTTGCAAAAAAAAATCGCATTAAAAATGTGTTTGTATATAATAAAAATGTGAGAAATTTTATTAGCATTGTTGGAGTTGAACATATGCACAGAAAAACTAAAATATGCGTTAACAAAATTGATTGTATCAATTAAAAATTGTACCTGCCAACAAAAAGATTTCTACAATTAGTGAAAATAAAATATTTATTATAAATATGAATTTAAGGAAATTTATTAATTGTACTAAGCACAAGTTTAGTTGTTAAAGAAAGACATATAGTAGTTTTAATCAATATGTTAATCGAAATCATTTATATAGATTTCAAAATTAATAAAATTTTTAATTAAAGATATATTAAGCAAATGTTGAGTAAAGAAAGATCTTAATTGAACTAGTTCCACCATTACTTTTGTTTATGGTCCTCTAGTATAACTATGAAAAGTATGTAATTCATATAGAGATATATTAGCATTAGTTCCTCTATTCAGAATTATTGTAAATTATTATTATTACTGATCCCACTGTGTTCTGTGACAATTGTACACACATACATATGCGCACATTTAGACAGATATAGTGATATAGTTAATGTAAGCCCTAGCAAATGGTTGTTGTAAAAGTAATTATTACAACCAAATACATAAACACATCCCTATCATATAAACATAGTTATAAATAGTGTTTGTATTGTATTTATGGCTAAAAATTTTCATTTGTTTGGTTACTGAATTTAAATGTGTTTAATAACACAACACTCCATCGTTTTATCACACTGAGGATTCCCAAATGAGTATTTAATATATTTTTTGTTGTATGTGTAGTTATGTATTTTCATATTATACATATGTATGTAAGTATATGTAATAATGGGTATATATATGTATATATATCCGGCAGTTTTACATGTTCCAATTGTCAACTTTATTGAACTTATTCAAATGACCATTCTTCAAACAGATTATCAAAGTGCCATTAGTCACGCGCAATTTCATATCTCTAATAGCTAATATCCCAATCAACAGCAAACTAGTTCCAAAACCTGCAGGGTATAGTTAAAAATAGTTATGAATGTATGTTTATGTAAGGCAGCTTCTGTATGTGTCTGTGGTAATGTATTTATGCCTTCTACTGAAATAGATTAAAACCTAATTAAATGCTAATTGTGCTTATTTTAGAAAATCGCAAAGGTGAAGTTTTTTTTTATCCACCTACTCTTTGTTAATTAAATTTTGACATATTTATTATAATCGGTAGGAGTCATGGTTATTAAATTCATATTTAATAAATACGTAATATTAAAAATCAATATAAAATTTTAGAAAATTAGCTTAGTAAAGCTAATTATGCAATTTAATTGAAATATACTTAAAGGGATTAAACTGAAGAATGGTCTACAAAATTGTATTTAAATAATTTTGTGTTTTCTTATACACTTAGAAATATCAGGCAAGCTGCTTTTTTATAATGTTAAACAAACTATTATCTGACTTTATTGAAAACCTTTTCACCAGTGACGTCACAATTACTTTCGGAATCTTTTTTACATTCGATCACTTAATCACAATTTCAAAATATTACGACTTAATGTTTAAAAAATAAATTTAGTATAGAAAACTGTCCCTAAAAAACCTAGTGATAGTTTTATATAAATCCATTTGATTAAGAACTCAAATGTCCTTAGAATTATTAAAAATCACTATTAAGTTCTAAAATTATTAATTAACACCTTTTTTTGTTTTAGATCCCCCTGGCCCACCATATATTGAAGGTTATACACAAGGCGAAACCTTAAGACGAGGACAAACTGTGGAATTAATTTGTCGCAGTAGAGGAGGAAATCCACCAGCTCAATTAATATGGTACAAAAATGGTTCACAAATTCGTATGGCTTATAGGTATGTTGTTTCTAAAAAAAGGTCCTACAAATCCTACATACAAATGAAATGTATTTGCAAGATTAAATTTCACTAATTTAAATTTGTTAACTATTATAAAAAACAAACATAATCATCATACTCAACTTCATCCAAAAACAATTAGTTTTTTTTAAAACTTTTCAACTCAATGTTTTTTTTTTTGTTTGTTTATTTTTTTACAGAACGTCAGGACGTTTGTCGGAGAACATTTATACGTTTACAGCAGAGGCTAGCGACAACAAGGCTCGATTTAGGTGTGAAGCCAGCAACGTCATGTCACAGACACCACTTAAAGCTGAAGTTGATCTCACAGTTTTATGTAAGTTTACAACAATATTACGACTATACTAACTGTATAAAAAAATAATGAAAAAAACGAACAAATATAACAGCACATTTTATAGTAAAAAAACACACAAAGAAACTAAATAAACTAAACTAAAAACTAAACGAATAATGAAACATGCACACATACACAGTCATACACATACAAAAACAAACAAAAACAGAAACAGAAACATCATCAACAAAACTATGTCTTGCAGTAACAACAACAATGACAATTTTTTGTTTCATACAAGTAAAAAAAAACTATCAAAATAACAACAATATAGAACAAGATAGATAAAAATAAGCAAACTTATGTTTTACAACTTTAAGGATATAAAATTTGTTGTTAAATGTTTGTTGTATAGTGTCTCAAAAAAAGGATCTGCGAATAACAACAATATAAACACAAACACACAGAAACTTAAGTATTATGCACTGAAAAAAAAACACTTTATATTAATTGTGTTGTGCTGTTATACTGATCCTGATGTTGTTTGTAGTTTTCCTTCTTTTCTGTCTTTTTTCCCCCTCATCATTTATTGTTGAAAGTATATTCTGCAAGTGTTAAAATATTAAAATATTCGTAAGATTTTTTTTCATATAATAACTGTCAACAAATGTATGTATGTCATTGCAGTGGCGCGTATCGTTGTCTAAAATGGAAAGCTTCTTAAAATAACCAATTCGCTGCATCTACTCCTATTTTTCCCATTGATTCCTGTTTTTGTCAAGATTGTCGTGGTTTGTGACGGGAAATTAACTTGCCATCAAAACTTGTTCAAAGGGCTTGAGAACTGTGAATGATCATCCGAATTATCTCGTTGTAAAAAATATATATATTCGGCACCATTTAACATTTCTTAGTTGACTCTAACTTCTCTTAAATCGTCTAGCTTTGTCTTCTGACAAGGCTACGCTATATAGGCAAGAAAAAACTTATGAGTATCATTAGTTTCCCCAAAAGAGTCTATCGAGAACCCAAGAAATCCATCAACATTCAGTGAAATTCTTCAGATTCCTTAGCTTATAGAACTCTTAGGCTGCTAAATTCATTACCTCTTCCACTTTGTTAAAGTTTTTTCCATGATTTTTCATTTCTTAACTAAAATGGGAATTATACAAACTCGAAAAGTGTATCAATAGACAATCACATTGGCAATAAATCTTAAATTAGCTATAAGGACCTGCTGCATTTCAGGCTACGATAACTCTGTATATGTATATTTACTATGACAACAAACACACGAATATATACATATTTATTATGTTTAATAAGTAAACAGTTAACAACTACAACTATTCATACACATACTACTTAATAGGAATATTTACACAAACAGTATGTGTGTGTGTGTGTGTGCACGTTTAATTTTAATAGTTTTTAAAGGATAATATAACGCTGTGTATTTGTTTGTGTTTATATAGTACGTAAGCAGAAGCATGTGTATTTCCGCCAGATAAAAGTATTGTAAAAAGTAAACTACTTTTAAGTTTTTTTTTTCGTCTTCTGTGCTGTTCTTCTTAATTTAGATTTGTGTGTGTTTGTGAGTGTATGAAACAAATCAAGTAGTATTGTTGTTGGTTGTCTCCATTTTGTTTGTTCATGCTACTTTTCATAGTTTTATTCTTTGTTCGACATTTCTTTTGTTTGTGTTAAGCTTGTTAAGCTTGACGTTCAACAAATTCATATTAGCGCAACACAACAAAAGCGACAAAACCAAACAACTACGAAACTATACGAGAAAATTTGCAACAGCTCAACAGAATGAAGGAAAAAAACAAAGAAACTGTAAGCAAAATAAAGAAAAAGGTATCATTAGGAAACGGAAGTGTGTGTGATATGAAATCCTTAGTGGAACATAGTTTAAAATGTAGATGACGCAATGAGTACACATCTTCTTGTGAAGACAACAAAATATATAAATGACAAAAATAATGGGGATGAAGGTACTAAAGCTACAATATAGAAATATATTAAACAAAATTCTTCGCTTGCAAAATAATATTTTTGGGGACCTTTTAAAATAAACTAATTTTGATCAGTTCTCCATCATCTCATTTATTTGTTTGTTTTAGAGACCAATGGTTAAACTTCTTTTCTTTTTTTCATTTGAAGTAAAAAGTTTTATGTTGTGAAATTTGCACTACCTGAACGTATACGTGTTAATGATTAATTGATATTACAAATACTATGTATACGCCTAATTTAGAGAAGCACTTTTTGCGATTTTGATCTTGAAGACGAAGTTTTTTATTTGTTCTGTTCGATTTGTAAGATATGAGCCTAAGAAAACGATCACTTTTGATTAATTACAAAGTCAAGTAGTCAATGATTTTTTCCAAACGAAAATGACTATTTTCTTGAAATATAAATTCAAATTTATTTAACACATTTTCCTTTAATTTTAATTCTTAAAGAAAAGAACAAATAACATTATTACTTTCTACATAATCAGACATCAAAAAAAAGTCAAATATAAATATTGATTGAATGACATAACCCGTTTTGGTGTGAGTTTGATATAAAAAGAAATAAATAAATCTTATTTATTTAATAACATGTCGTCTATATATCTTTATGAATGTCATAGATTTTATATGATATTTCAGCAGCAATAAAATATTTTCTCTGAAAAATATAGGCACTAAAAATACATATAAATTTGTTTCTTTGAAAATGGATTTTAAACGAGATTTAAAAAAATGAATAAAAAAAGTAAATCTCCAGCATACTTTCTTGTTTATATTTGTGATAAAACATAAAACTGAATAAATTTTGTTTTAAATTAAATTTTATAAAAAACAAAAAAGAAAAACGTAAATTTAAAAGCCATATTAGCTCAAAAATATATTTTTCTAACAGCAACACACTGATACATACATACATATATTCTGCATAAAGAATACATACATAAACAATACTGTTTTTATAATTTGTTGTGTTTTGTTTTTTTGTGTCTACACAAAAAAATAAATATTTTTTTTTTTTAATAGAAACTCTTAACACTTTGTTAAAAGAAACTTTATGGTTTTAATATGTATAAGATGAAGTTGAACACATACAGTGCAGCAGTGTTTTCTACAAGAATGTATGTATTTATGTGAGGATGTGTGAATTGTAAGAACGTAGTTTTTACAGAACGTATTTCCTGTTGCTTGTTGCCAAAAAAATTAAACAAAAAACCCATATACAGCTAGAGACAACAGAAGCAAAAAGTGGAAAACGTAAAAAATAAAGCTGAAAACAAAAATTACGTTTACATATTTTATGATGATGTTTATTTTTGATGAAGCGCAAATGTATTTGTTGGCTTGATAATCGCACACAAACAAATAATAAATAAACAAACTAACACGTTCCCATATATACATACAGTCATACAGTTGTACATACATATGAATGTAGTGTATGTGTGTAAGAATAAGTAGAAGCTTACATCAACATTCATGCATACAAACATACTCATTTGCTATACATGTATTTATATTAAGTACATACATACGAACATGTGCATAAAAAACAAATATCATTATCACATAGATATACATACATAAAACTATACGTAGTGTAATAGAAAAGTTTCCTAAATAAATTTCTACTGATCTTTTGCACAAACTTAAATCGCTTACTTTCACTGCTTTTATTAACGACACCACTACGTATACGTGTTAATGATTTATTGATGTTGAAAATATTAAGTATACGTCTATTTATTGATCTTGAAGATGATTTTATATGTTCACAGCTTTTGTTCTTTAGGACAAGAGCTCCAACTTTGTTTCAGAGAGTAAACCAAAATTATCACTGATCATTAGTGGCCTATAAAAAAGTGCATGACTGGGTGACACGGGTCTTTTTTTTTGTCTTTTATCACGTAGTGGTGTCCGTATATGGTTATATTGCTTCGTGTTGCAATGTGTAATTGTCGTTCGTCTGATTTGTTATAAATAAATCACAGTCAGTTTTAATATACTGTCCAATATATTGGACAAAAGCATTACAAACTGACAAACACAAAAAAAACATAAATAAATCACAGTCAGTTTTAATATACTGTCCAATATATTGGACAAAAGCATTACAAACTGACAAACACAAAAAAAACATCTAAGAGCAAATTTTTTTTTCGCATAAAAAGCTTTTATTTGATACCCTGTGAGGTGATTCGTCGTCTAAAGTAGAACTTTATGACATAGAAATAAGAGATTATGTATTAGAAATATCTACATATCTCACATTTAAGTTAATTTTCATTGTATCCACGCTATAGAAAAAAATAAACTAGATTCATATTCCGTGTAAGTAAGTAAATTTTGTCTGTTTTGTCTTTTCTTTTCTTATACATTTCTGTTAGAAAAACAAAACAATAACAAGTATGTGAATATTAGCTAAAAAAGATAAACTAATATGTACGTGAACTACGCTGAATACAAGGATGGAAATGTTGGTACGATCTACAATTTTTTAATTTTCTTAAATTAGCCAATATAGTTATGACTATTAAATAGTTTTGTCTATGGACTAATCTAAAGACTAGATCATTGACTAGTTTATAGACAAGTCTATGCACTAGTCTATTGACAAATCTATGAACAGGGCTATTAACTGGTATATGGACTTTGCTATTAACTAATCTATGACTGATTTGTTGACTAGTCTATTTCCTAACTTATACTCTAGGCAATATATTTGTCAATATAATACTCTATGTAATAGCCTATGGACCAGTCTATGAACTAGTCTATGCACTTGGCTATTGGTATATTATTAATTTGTGGACTAGCTAGTTGACTGATAAATACATGAACTAGTCTATTGACTATTTTATACGCTAGACAATAGTGAAATGGTGATGTTTAATATCTCCAGCCCAATTTAATTGATAATTTCGTAGTAGAAAATTAACATTTATATTTTCCAGCCCTGATTCAATGTGTATCCATACACCCAATATAAAAAAATATGCGTATAAACAGAATAATACTTATTAGAAAAATAAAATAAATAACAAGTTAGAGTGCTATATTCGGCTGTGCTGATCCTTATATGGGAGTTGTGACCAATTATGGACCGATCAAGAAAAAATTCCGTATAATGATTTATATGCAAAAAAAGAAATTCAAGTCGAATATTACTCCAATAGTTTTAAAATATATATTACTCCAATAGATATAAAATATGTGCGTATAAGTGATTTTCGGAAGTGCATTTTATATAGGAGCTATGACCAATTAGGGGCCTCTCCAGAAAAATTTCGTAGAGTGATTCATATGTATGTACACAAAACATAAATATTTGTTTATCAAGATAGCTTTATTTGACAATGAAATATGTAAGTTTAAATGATTTTCGGAAGAGGGCCTTATATGGGAGCTATGACCAATAATGGACTGATCCGGGGAAAAATTTATAGAATGATTTATATGTACACAAAACATATTCAAGTTGAATTTTATACCGAAAGCTTTATTTATCAATGAAACATTGATTTTCGGAAGTGGGCCTTATATGGGAGTTACGACCAATAATGAACCGATCCGTATAAAATTTGGTGGAATGACCTTATATGGGAACTATGACCAATTATGGGCCTATTCGGAAAAAATTTCGTAGAGTGATTCATATTGAGACAAAACACATTTCTGTCGAATTTTATAAAGATAGCTATATTTGACAATGAAATAGGTACCTTTAAGTGATTTTCGGAAGTGGGCCTTATATGGGAGCTATGACTAATAATGGACCGATCTGAAAATAAATTTGGTAGAATGATTTGTATGTACACAAAACATATTCAGCTCGAATTTTATCACGAAGGCTTTATTTATCAATGAAATATATCCGTTTAGGTGATTTTAGGAGGTGGACCTTATATGGGAGCTATGACCAATTGTGGACCGACTGAGATCTACGTTGGTAGTATGATTTCTATTCATATTATATTTGTATATACAAAATTTTGTGTTGATAGCGATATATTTGAGGGAGTTATTAACGATAAACTAATTTCCGGGAATATACACCATTGTATGGGGGCTATGGGAAATATTGTTATGAGTTTGAAAATACTTGATCCCTGTCTCAAAAAATAATGTGTGACAAAATTCATCGAAATATCTTTGGTAGTTTCTGAAAAAACTACTTAAGAATTGGGAAAAAAAGTTATTATTTTCGAGGTAGTCTGAAATTTTTACATCGTGAACCGATTTTATTGATTTTCAATACCAAACTGTACCGGATAATAGAGTATGTTTTGTTTGAATTTCGTGAATTTCTATTGCTTCGTTTTAACGTGAGCGTGTTTTACACAGACGGACGGATCATAAGGATCAAGAATATACATATATACTTTGTTGGGTGTCAGATGAATATTTCTTGGTGTTACACACGGAATGACAAAGTTATATTTACCCTCTATCGCCACTGATGGTGGTGTAGGGTATAAGAACAATAAATATTTTTTTAAAACTCTATAGATACCGAATTATTTCCAAAAATAAAATTTACTAAACCACTGTACTGTACAAAATGTACCATATATTTATGAGAATTTCGACATCGAACTTTAGTAATTTCACTACATATGTATGTAGATGGCTAATACAGGATATCTTAGAGATTTTATAAAAGAAAACCATATATATTTTACCATTCACTGTAATTCCAATACAATGCCTCTCGTAGTGTATGTGTTTGTCATATTAATGTGTGTATGTGTATAAAACATTATAAATTCAAGACCTTATTTTCTTTTAAAAACAATGACAAAACAAAAACAACAAAATGTAACACCCTCAGATACAATTTATAAGTATGTATGTATTACATATGTGTGCTGCATTATTACTTATCCATCAAAATAATATTTGTTTGCAATCATACGTTCTCTTAACTATTAGTATGGCCCCTTAAAAGTTTTTATAATCCATTTCTATTTTAAGAATTCACCTAGATCAATTATACGATGATTATTTTTGTAGTAAGTAAAAATACCTTATATGGTGTCTTGGGCCAAAAATGTCTGGGAATAAGGTTAAATATAACCAAAATTTCACCATATTTTACTATATGGTTTGTGTTTTTTTTTTTTAAATAAACAAAAGTTCCTAGACAAACTCGCGGATCAATATCAATCATCTTTAAAAGTATTCATTCATAGTTATTTTTCTGTGGAATCCTAATATATATGTATATGTATGTGTTTATGCGTATTTGTCTATATATTTATATTGTTGTTGTTTTATTTTTTATATACATATATTAATACTACAACTTTTTACTCTGATAATACTAAAAAAATGTGTATGTATTAGCGTTTGTATAAGTATGTATTATGCGGTATATATTGCTTTCTAGTTTGTTGGTATTGGTGTTGTTTTTTCCGCATCGTCTTTCTCTTGCTACTTTAAGAAGTTATTGAAATATTAAAAAGGATAATATAAGTATACTCTATAATATATGTGAGTTGAGTCTAAAGCAAAAAAAAAAAAAAAAATGTTGGAAAAACATACACATTTATATTTTATATATTCATGCACACACACACTTACATATATGTCTACTTAAATTTTGATGAATTTGAAAGTGTTTGCGTAAATGTATGCGTGTGTTTCCTGTGTTTTTCTTTAATATGTATGTATTTGCATGTGAGTGACATTTAATTCTTACACACATTGAAAAGTTTTAATAAAAATTTAATTCAAAGCTGTTGCTTTTTATGACGGATGAATGTTGTGTTTTTGTAAAAATCAAAAAGTCTGTTCTAGCTGTTGTTTTGAAATGCAGTGGGTAGCAAAAGTTGCAAGTTTTTGTTTTTAGTTGAAATTTTAACGGAATTTAATAAAGATTAAATTAATTTTAAGTTTATAAAGTTTCACGCAGTTTTAATGGAAAACAAATATATTTTAATTTTGAATATATTTAAGACTAGATATGATATCTCAGCTGGGAATTTTTAAGGTTATGGCGTTAAAATCTAAAGACTTTTAATTTATGAAGAACAAATTAGAATCGATCCATAATTTAGCCTGCTTAGAACCGAACCCTTGCAAAGACTATCGCTAATAAAACCATAAAATTTGCACTAAGTTTTATATTCATTAGAGATTTATTTTACTTTGAACTACTTTTCTCAAGTACTATATATTTTCGTTAAAAAGAAAGCTAAACTACTAACTTAATTAAGGACTTTCTTTGTTTGCCTGATTTGACTTTACAAAATTTTCAATACAGTATCAAGATTTAATTACAAACTACAACAACATTTTGATGACAGGAATTTTAATACCCTTGTTTGATTTCTTATGAAATCCTGTGACAAATATTGTAATGTAAATTGCTGTAAATTAAAACTAGCTCAAGGATTTCTTAGTTAAATTGTGTTTAGATATTAGTTACAATTTATAATAAATTGCAAGTGGGTGTGAGTTTGTAGGTGCGGACGCGCTAAATACAATCTTGTAGTCGATTTAATTAAAATGAATCTTTTATCCTTTAAAATCAGTGGCATTAGAGAAATAATATCATTTGAAATATAAATGATATTATCACTATGGAAATCTATTTATCTTTTAATTTTCTACCATATTTTTTTGTTATCACCCACCACTTTGAGTCTGAGAATGAGTGAGTGCGAAACAAGTTGAGACAAACGTGTCTGAATTTTAAATAAACAAGATAAACGAATGATACCGGCTGGTTGGCTGGCTGACAATGTCAGGCAGGCCGACTGGCAAACAAGCATCTGGCCAAGTTTATGATGCTGTTAAAATATTAATGAATTTATGGAATATAAATAAAGCACACTCTCACATAAATACATATTTATAACGTGTTATATTTATGTTTAAACAAATACATACATATAAATATTTAGTACAATCTCTATGTACTTATAAAAATACAAAAATATATAAATTTGTCTACTTCCTTTATGTTTTGCATTTTCTTTACTTTTTTTACATTTTCCATCTTACAGTTGCTCCAACACATGTTTCAATATCGGGATCAACGGAGGCACGAGTGGGCGATGTAGTGCCACTTACATGCACAACGGCAGCCTCTAATCCGCCAGCTGAAATCAAGTGGATGGTTGGCGGTCGTCAAATACGAAATGCGACATCACGCACCACCGTCAGTCCCGAAGGTGAGTAAAAAAAAAATACATATACATTTATTCACTCACACAGTGGTCCCCTAGTACTGACATTCACATTTATATCCGCACTTGTGCCATCGTGTGTCAAACGGCAAACGAATGAATGTGTGCATATTTGATTAAAATATTTTATAATTACGCAAATTGTCTTTCCTTACTTTAGTCTAAAATATAAATATGTATATACTTACTTATGTACAAGTACATTGTAGATGTATATGTACATATTTATTTAGTCTAATTTAATCTCCTCCTTCATTTTCATTTTTTATTTTTATTCTTAATTCTATATCATTTACACTGGCTGCGTGTAAATTATTATTATACTCTACATCATCCAAATATAATTATACTTACCAAGTCAATTCACTATGACTCTTCTAAAGGATTGAGTCCAGCTGAATCTAAATTTCTTCATCACATCTGGGATTTGTGATATCGTATCCTGAAATTTGAAAAACCGCAACTTTTGGCCCTTTTGGAGACGTTATAACTGCTCGAAGACAACTTTATTAATAACATCTGACATATCTTCTTTTTTCTTCGAGATATTTTGTCCTAAAGATTGATATAACAATAAATTGACGAAAACTAGCCTTTTTCGTACATTTTGCTTTTATTTTAGAAAAAAAACTTTTATATTCCAATTTTTAACATATCTTTCCTTCCTATGGAAATATGAATTGTTTAAAAATCTCTTGTAGTTGCTGAGATATCATCCGTTGAAGTTGACGGACTGACAGACATCGTTATGGCGAATCAGAAAGTGATTTTGAGTCTATTGGAACATTGTCGGATAGATGTGGATCCTATATTTCTGTTCATTATAAACAATACTAACAAAGCGTAACTCCCGTCGCACTATAATAGTACAGGTTATAAAGACCATAGATATACCAAAAACCATGAGTTTTCAATCTTTAGCTGAAGATATCTCGAAGAAAGAAGATGTTAAGCCTTTATTTTAAAGTTACTAAAATGGACTTTCAGATGTCATATAACATTTTACAAATAAAGTTATCTTGGTGTTGTTATAACCTCTCAAAAAGGCCCAAAAAAGGCGTTTTCTAAAACTTCAGGACACGATATCTCAAATTTCAGATATTAAGGGGAAAATCTTAAAAAATATATATTTCTTAATATCCACAACTTTCTGAAATTATGTTTTCTGCTGGTAGCTAGATTTTGGAATCATTATTATTAATTCACAGCCAGTATAGGTTATCATGTTTTTTGCCTATACCCGACTATTTTCTAATACATACTTGTTTTATGAATTATTATAGTGACGTTATTACTTTTTTATTTATTTTGGTTTGGTTTCATTACATTTTTTTTTTTTTGTAGGTGGCTGGATTACAATTTCAAATATAACGGCTGTCATTGAGCCCAACAAACGTTCGCTGGTTGTCATCTGTCATGGTCTCAACATGCAGTTAACGGAGAATGTTGTCTCCACCCATACAGTCAATGTTTTATGTAAGTAGATAATAATAAATTATTTATATTTATAGGAATATATCTTTAAGTTATAGAAAATATATTTAAAGGAAAAAGAATGAAAACAAATGAAGCATAAGTTAAGGCTTATCACACTTACAACTCTATGCCAAAAATGTCATGATTATAATTTCCACTTATTTAGAAATAAATTAGTTCTATACCCTCTTCATGTTTCTAAATGGCCAGTTAAAAAAATTATTTTAAAATATAAAGAAAATAACAAATATTTTCTTAAATCTTAATTTAATATTTTCCATTTAAATATACGCATTTCCTAGACTCATATCATTATGTTGGCTTATATTTTTTCGTTCCTTTTATCAGGGCTTAAACATTACTTCTATCTAAAAGCATTTCGTACTGTCAACCATTTAGTAAAACGAGTACATTGTATAGACAATGTAAGTAAATATGTACGTAGTTAAGAACAAAAGAATGAAGAAGAAATACAAATTTTACATGCATGCGCATAATTAATTTGTAATCCATTCATCCATGTAACGTGCGCCGTGCATTAAGTGAATTCTTAAAAAAAAACAATTAAAATTACATTAAAGCTTTAACTATTGTTCACCCTTGATTTGTCCATATAGTCTTGTGACGGTCTATTTCTCTTCACTTATTGTGTGAATATTTAGTGAAGTTTTTCTAGAACAACAGTGAGCGGCTGCCATAGCCAACAGGAACCGCTTATTGCCTTACACATACATATTTAATACAATTGTTAACGAACTGTAAAAGAAGTATTTGTAAAAGAAAAATTTTAAGATTTTTAACTTGTAATAAATTTTGATGCTTCTTTTTTCTCTTTTTGCCGATGTCAGGTACAATTTTGAAACTAAAAGGAAATATATTTAATTTGAATTCTTATTAGACTATTAAGTATTGTCATTATTAACTTCACACGATGATTATTACACCATATTTCCTATTAAATAATTTTTAATTATTCTAGTTTTGATAACATCGAAAAAAGGATATCAGTGTAAAAAGGCATATTAAAGGGATTTATTGTATTAGTATTCTATTTTGTTAAATTGACAGTTTTGTATTTGGTAAAAATAATCTTGATTACAACAAAAATATATTTATTCAATAATGTCCTTACTGAATATCCTTTGAACATGCATATCGACATCCTATATTCAAAAGGAGCTAACTCAATCTTGGGTAAGCTATTACCTTAATCAACATTATGCAAACAGTTTTTTCGCTCTCCTGAAAACTTGACTTTTTAGGTTAGCACTTTTTGAATTAATTAAATTAATTCTCCACAATTTACTCAGTTTTTATATCCACCATCAAAAAAGAGGGGGGGTATATTGATTTTGTCATTCCGTTTGTAACACATCGAAATATTCCTCATAGACCCACAAAAGTATATATATTCTGATTCTTATTAAATTCTAAGACGATCTAGCCATGTCCTTCCGTCTGTCCGTCTGTCTTTTGAAAACCCGATAGAGTCCGAACGAAATGAGCTAGAGGGTTGTAATTTTCCAGAAATATTCTCTATAGGTTTGTTTAGTATTGAAAATGGGCCTCATTGGGACATGTTTTCGGATAGCCCGCATACAAGTGGACCCCCAAAAAACAGCCTTAACGGGCATATATGTTTTAAAAGTGTAACTATAGCGATGAAATTCAACATAAACAAGTTTTATATGAACCAAAAACTCTCTGCCAAATTTTATGAGGATCGGTCCATAATTGACCCTACCCCCCATATAAGGTCTCCATCAAAAAATGACTTTAACGCTCATTACTGGCTTAAAAATAGGAGTATAGCGATGAAAATTGACATAAGTAAGTTACTTTCAAGCCAAAACCTATCTACAAAATTTTATGCGGATCGGTCTATAATTAACCCTACCCCCATATAATTTCCCCTTCAGAAAATTACTTTAACGATCATTTCTGGCTTAAAAATGCGTGTACACTGTACAGTTATGAAATTTGATATAAGAAACATCTATAGAAACTTAAATCTTCCTACCGAATTTCATGCGGAAAGTGTCGGTAACTTACCGCCCATAGAAGCCTGCCTCGAGAATATTACTTTAGCGCTAATCACTGACATAAAAATGCGAGTACAGTGATGCTATTCAATGTAAACATCTTTATATGAACCAAAATCGGTTTACAAAATTTTATGAAAAACGATCAGTTAATTTGATGAGTGATCGTGATGTTAGGGGAGCATTCTTTTTATGGCATACGATTTGATGGTGGGTATATGAGATTCGGCACAGCCGAATATAACCCTCTTACTTGTTTTATTATTCCTATCATCTCAGTCTGGGATTATCTGGTACTTCTAACAAATTTGATTGGAATAGTTAGAAAAAGATTTTCACCAAAATATCTCAGTATGTACAATTGCAGAGCTGGGTAGTCACATATAAGGTTTTGTACCGATTGTTCTTTATCGTCTAAAATACTTCTGCCATATCTGTTATATAGGACATCTATTGGATTTTGCATTCGTTCAATCGTGTCCAATAAGTGTGTTCATAAGAAGCCTTAACAAATTTCTGTCGTTAAGATTTCCTTTCGTGAAAGGCAGAGTCAGAGCATTTTGGATATTCTGCAAATGGTAACATTGGATCTACTGCGTCCAGAAATTAACCATGTCGAAGAGAGTCGTTTTAGTTTATACACGGTGTAAAATGAATTAAAATACATTTCGACCTTAGTACTTTCGAGGTAGAAACTTTAAGACACGCAATGTTTAGTTCTACGTATATGTTTAGTTCTCGGATCTCTCGCGATTATATCGATGTCGTTAAAAACAGTTTAAAAACTATTGGACATGATCCAACAATAATAACCTAATTGTTTTAACTTATTAAAGATAAAAAATTACGTTATAACATCAAATTATTTCTGTGTTTCTGTTTAACTAAATATAAAATTAATTCAGGGAAATTTATGTCATTATTAATAATTCTATTGCTGCTACTGCAACTGATTTCATCATTTATGATAAACAACATTATTTAATTATTCATTTGCTGAGGAGTTGGCGAGTGTTTAAACATATACATAAATGTGTGAGTTGGAATAAATTTTCTCCTCTTGAAGATTTGAATAATTTTACATTTAATAAACGCTAAGAATTATGTGTACTTAAAGCTTTAATTTGATCTAGAAAAATTCCAGTTTTCATCACAAAGAAAAAAAAGCCTTAAAAAAGAAAAGCCATCCGAAAAAAATCTGTATTGTAGATAAATGCTAAAGCAAGAAGCTGAAAAGGAAACACAGGCTGCTTTTTTATGTGTTTTGATGTTTTGTTATAATTGCAGCATTAAAAGCTTCGCTATCAAGCAAATAAAACCCAACCCAACTAACCAGTCATTGTTTCTGTGCTGTTCCACTTTAAAGGGAATGTATAAATAAATAGTCATGCTAAAGCTAATTGCTGCCATGTCTATCAAAATGTCTGTAAATGAGACAAGTTGTTTTTTTATGCCTACAGTCAAATCACCTCGTTCTCTTCCTCCTCCTCCTCCTTCTCTACCCCGATCAACAACACATCCCTGCCAACATACAACTCAAATAAAATCATTAAAATAATATCTACCCCTTTTTTCTGGCACTTACATTTATACACACACACATATTTTTTAATGCCTCCATTACAATATAAAATTCAGTTTTTTTTTTTCATTTTTGCCTTTTTTATTATTATTTTTTCTAAACACTTAAGCCCACCCTGTTCCTTTTCGTTGGGCTGATGATTTGCTGCTGCTGCTTTATTTTTTTGTTTGCTGTAATGAAGTTCCAACGTTGATTAGGCGTAAAAAGTGTTGTCACACATACTCAACGACACTACACACAAAGACATTTTTTTCTCCACTCGACACTATGCCACACTAATACTTACAACAGCAACAACTACAACAACAACTAAATACTACTTCAACTTTTGTAATAAAAGGTTAAAAATCTTAACAATAAAAGCTTTTAGCATAAAGGGTTCAGTTTCCTTCATATTTTTGTTGTTGTTGTGTTGTTTGTGTAATTTCATAGTTGTTGTTGATGTTACATTGCAGTTCGAAGTGACAGTTATGAACTAGTCATTAAATTTGACACTTAGGATTACCCCTGATTACTGTAGTTATTAGCTATGTTGTTGGTGTTCTACAACCTAATAAATTGATTCTTTATTTAGATTACTAAAGAGATCTTATCTTCGCACTAAAGCAGAGATAGACAGAGAGTAAAAAGTTAACTCTCTGACTAGTGTGAAGGAAAGAGTTCATGAAAGAGAGCTTCTTGCTCATATACTTTGACTCCATATAAAACTACTGGGCACTTTTAGAACTGGGAAAAATTCTTTGGTAATTTGTTCCATTTTTTTATGCTGCTGTTAGTTGTTGTTAAATTTACAATGTTTTTACTATTTAATACAAAAGTTAATGTGTGCTAGTCTTTGTATATGTTAGCCAGTAAAGTGGTGTGAGTGAGTGAGTGTCAAAGTAAATGAATAGAAAATCCAGTAATAAAACAACAGCAAATTATCACAGCAGGATCTCTGGTAGCAGCAATAAGTAGTATTTGTAGCATAAATGGCACAGTTGTCATAATATGTATTGTAATTTCTTCTCTCTTTCTCGTACTTTTTTGTACTTTTAATTCTTTTTTTACAGTTATGAACGAATTAAACGCTGCTGTTGTTTCTCTATACATAAGCGATTGTATGAGTATAATGTACCAACAGTTTTATGGCACAAGGAGTTGATAGATTATACTTTTTTCAAATAACTAACTATTGGTTGACACGATCAGTTTTTCTTTTTTGACACTTTAATTTGTTTATTTATTGTTATAAAGGTTAGTTATATTACATGTGCTAGTTAATCTTACTTGCATTCAATCATCACTCTATTATCCCTAAGTAATCGAGAGTGTTGACAGATTTAATATGTTGTTTATTCTAAATGACATACATATAGAAGAATCAATTGCACATT